TTGAGTGCTGGATACAGGGCATCTGTTTGCCTCTTCAACTGGATTGTAAGTTGAGGCCATAGACCTAGTCTTACCCACCTGGCACTTCCTTTACTTAGCTCAGAAAGCTGCCTTTAATACTTGCTAAGCAGTTAAATTGCTAACACATTTGATTCTTAGAGCTCATTCCTCTTTGGTAAATCACCACTTGAGACTTTTTAAAGAACTGGGCAGGTCGATGTACTTTCTGTGGGACCTGAATGAAGAAATCCTTAGCGCCCCAATGTGGATCATTCTGGGAGGCCATTCTCCTCTGTCCAGGTGGCATGGGGAGCTCAGGGCTCTGCCCCATGATGTGCAGGCCTTTTCCACAGGGTCGGAGATAAAGCCGGCCATATTCCTGCAGTGCCCCAGAGTCCTGTGGACAGTGTCTGAAGAGACACACCATGCAGGAAATAACCCTCAGAAACACTCTCACCTAAGTCTAGGTTCTGTTCTACGGATGAGTTCGCTAGACTTAGGAGACAAGAAAGAAAACAAAAACCAACAAGAAATACTTAGAGTAGTTATTCAGGCTCTGACCCCACTACCATGGAGCCGATTCTGACGGAGCGCAACCCTTCACAGGGTTTGGAGACTGAGTCTTTCCCCGGGAGCAGAACGGCGCATCTTTCTCCTGTTGAGGATTTGAACTGCTGACCTTGGGGCTAGCAGCTCGATGCCTAAGCTACAGTGCCGCCAGGGCTCCTTTTCCCCTTGAAGAAGGAGCACAAACACATGGATTACATAGTTAACAGCACGTCTCTTTGATGTGGCCCAAGTTTATTAAGTCTGCCTTTTGTGAGAGGGGGATGTATAAACCACAAGCCTGATAGTTACTCAGAAGTCTCGGGACAAGTAAGATTTTAGAAAGAACACTGGATTGGGACTTAGAAGACATGGGTTCTGGTCGGCCCCTTCACCTTAGTAGTTTTGAGACCTGAGGTGAGAAACCACTCAGCTCCTCAGACACTGTTTTCTCCTGGTTGCAAAACAGATACCTACCCGTTACAGGGGATAATGTGAAAGATATATTTTAAATGCTTTGTAAACGTAAGACTTGGTAGCACAATAAAAGGGTTTATTTTTGAGGGATTATTTTACAGCCTACTGTTTGAAGTACTGGTTTGCTGCTCCTAAGCGGAAGGCCTGGGCAGACCTTTAGGGCCTTTTGTGTAGTCTGGAGGTGAAAGCTACGGGAGGGCCCCAGAGGTGGACAGAACATTGGTGGGGACCTGACTCTCTGCTGTTTGTTGTATTCAGGCCACATTGAAGACCTAGCCTCACAGAAGCATTTCCATCAGGGTGTTCCAG